AGTCCTGACTATGAATGCTCAGATGCCATTATGACCTAGTGCTAATAACGTCCCTCATCTGGATGATGTGCCTGTACCTTTATATTGTCTTTATACCTTTTAAGACATAATAAATGTTCTCCTCAAACGATATCTGAGATTAGATTTTCTTCCGTATCCCAAAACACCTTTACTAGCAAAAGATACAAAATTTGAAATTTAATAGTAAACAATGCTAAAGGATCATACTGTTCGTGCATTATAAATCAGAATGATTCCTAGGGTATCACTTTCAAATATTTCAATGAACAAAACGTTGGCCTGTCCTGGGCTATCCTCAATCTCATTGCTCTCGGAAGCCCTTCTTGCAGTCACTGTGTCAGTTCATTTCATGGAAGGCCTGCTTCTTTTGACCTGACCAGTTACTTTACCCAGCCCTAGGTCCTTCTCCAAGGTTTGGTCCCTGCTCATGACACATCCAAAGCATGTGAGATAAAGTGTCACCATCCTGGTTTCTAAGGAACATTCTTTTGAAGCTCTTTTAAGATATAACAAATGTTCATTCTTCTGGCAATCCAAAGTATATTTAATATAAGTTGACAACAACACGGCATGAATGTGGTAAATATCCTTTGGCCTTCATTTACAACTCTCCAGTTTTCATACCCATAAGATGCGATTACAAAAAACATGGCTTAAGTCAGTAATTCTCAACCTTCTTAATGCCGTGACCCTTTAATACAGTTTCTCATGTTGTGGTAACCCCCAACCATAAAATTATTTTCATTGATACTCCATAAGTGCAATTTTGCTACTGTTATGTATCGGGCAACCCCTTGAAAGAGTTGTTCCATACCCAAAGGGGTCGCGACCCACAGGTTGGGAGCCACTGGCTTAAGTCAAGTCTCCCTTCATTATCATGATGATCACTGTGCTTTTTTAATATTTTAAAGAAGTCTTGCAGTACATATTCCCTATGCAAGTTCTTGACTTCTGCTTCCATGTGCAATGGTTGTTCATCTAAAGGACAATGAAGTCATTGATGACCTCCGTTTCGTTGCCATTGCACTATTTTGTTCATTGAACTAGCTGTAAGGGTTTTCTTTCTCTTTATAGTCAAGTGCAAGTCGTACCGGAGACTGTAGTGTTTTGCCTTCATCTGTAAATATTTGAAGTTTTTCACTTTGGGCAAAGTTTGCATTGGTGTGTATCGGATTGTTCATGAAGCTTTCTCAAACCCTGATATCTTGTTCTTTATATAGTGAACTTCAGGAATTATTGTTTAGCATGTATTTGAATAACTATAAATAACTATACAACCTTCTATACGCCTTAAATGCAAATATTAAATGATGCAGGAATCATCATAAGAAGATGAAAACTACACACAGAGTCACAGTACCAAAAGAACTGGCAACATTGAACCATCTCAGAAAGTAGTGATGGGAGCTAGCACTGGAACTAAATGTGGTTGAACAACTCATTTTAAAGATGGTTTTTATTAGTGACAAGATCCATGATCAGAGGGGAGAATTGTATTATTTGACAATTCCATGGCTACTTGAATATGAGTTACCCTATGCATTAGAGCTT